TTATTAAGAGTTTTATAAATATAAAACTATTCTATACTCTATTATAACTGAAATTTATTTCTATAAGTAATATATTACTTCATATTATATTACTTTATATTATATACTAAGACTTCATTATTAATTTTAAATTATATGATTATCTATTTATTAATCTTAAGTTAAATATTTATTATATATTTGATATTAATATTAAATATATTATTTCAATTAATTGTAACTTATAATAGCCAATTAGAGAATTATAATTAATTATAATAATCAATTAAAAAATTATAATTAAGTTATAATATTATTTTTAATTAATATATAAGTCTTAAATATTTAATACTATAATTTTATACTTGATAAATTATAACTTTATTATATTAATCTTATTATTTAATTAATAAAATAATTTTATAATCTTTAACTATAATAATAAAATAATTAAAATAAATACTAATAATAATAAATTTTTATTAAATTATAATTTTATCTATATATATTACTAAATACTTATTTAATATTAAATTATTTATAATTTATATTATTATAAAAAAAAGTATTAAAAAATATTAATATTTAAAGAAATTATTAAATTAATTAAAAAAGTTTACAAATATTTTTTCTTAATTATTATCAAATAAATTATTAAATTATTATCAAAATATATTATTTATTATATTATTAATTTAATATCTAATTTAAAATTATTATTATATTCTATCTATTATTTATCTTATATTAAGATAAATAAATTAAAGAAATAACTTATTAATTTATTAAATAAAAAATTTATTTATCTAAATATATTATTATTTGATATATCTATTTTATATATTAAAAAAAACTCTAAGATTTTATATTAATTATTATATTTTGAATAAAATTATAATTAAAAATTAATATTTTTAGCTTATATAAATAAATCAATAAATTATTTTATTAGAATTTAAATTAAATTTATATTTTAATTATTATTAAATAAGAATTAAAGAAAATAATATTATATTATAAAATATAATTATTATAAATTTCTTATTTTATTATTTAATCTAATAAATATCTTTATAATTTTTATAATATTGATAAATAATATATTTTATAACTATCTTAACAAGTTTATTATAACTTATCTTGATAATATTTTTATATTTAATAAAATTAAATAAAAATATCTAGAATATTTATATACTACTTTAATTAACTTTATTATATATTAAAAAATATAAATTTATTAAATAACATATTAAGTACTTAGATTATTTTATTTTAGAAGAAAAAATTTTAGTAAATTAATATAAAAATTATAGTAATACATAATTAATTATAATTAACTAATATATTTAAACTCTGATAATTCTTAAATCTTGTAAGTTATTATTACAAGTTTATAAAAAATTTCTCTATAATTACTTTATATTATTTATAATATTATTATATAAAAATAAAAAGTATATTGAAATAAATTAAAAATATTTAATAATTTAAAGTATATAGTGGAAATAACATAATTATGTTATTTCCACTTGGCCTAAGTTATGACCACTCAGGTATTTGGTCTATATCATAATTCTGGTCACATTCGAAGATAGTCCATTTCATAAATTTGGCCACATTGGTGTGTGGCCGATCTCAAAAAATTGGACCAGGCCGATCTCATAATTTAGAAATTCAAAATCGATATGAATTTTCGTATATCGGTTTAATATTTCAAATCGATTTCCGTTGTAAGGAAATACCCGATTAAGGTTATGACGATTTGTAGTGCCCCCTTCTACAATAATTTCTATTTCACTTAGAAACCCAAATTCGATATCGAAAATATTATTCGAATTATTACATTAGTATGTGGCCGGTCGGCCATATAGAATCACCATATTGGTGTGTAGCTGATTTCGTTACGTTAGGCGCGCACAGTTTCCATCATTTCAGTGATGAGACTTTTATATTTGGCTTTCTAACGGAGTTGCAATTCCGTCTACTTTTTATATCTTAATTGTGGTCACAATCCTCAGCCTAAATTGCAGGAAGTATTTTTTGTTTTACGAAAAAAATGTCAAGAAAAAAAGAAAAAAGAGTAAGCAATTCCTCAATCAACAGTCATATAAGCATTTGGTCAATTGAAAGTGACACCGCCTCAACCAACAGTAGTAAACCCCTTGGTTTTCATGGTACCAGTCATAATTCTGTAAACTCTTATGACAAATGGTTTCACCCAACAGCCTCAACAAGGACTTCTTCCACATGAGAGAGGTCTTTATACGTCTCCTGATCCAAAAGTTGCTAGTGGATACGGTGCTACTCAGGATGGATACAGAGTAAAGCCTGGTGTGGTTCTAGCCGTATCCATTCCAAGCAAAACACCGCATGTCATTACCAGTACATCTATGGCACATCGGACAAAGATCAAAAATGAAACGGATGTTATGAATAGAAACTTTGGTAAAGGTAATTATTCTGTAACTGGTCCACAATCCTCTCAAAATCGTGCACCAGAGACCATCACTCAATTTCCTATTGCCAGCAAAACAAAATCACAAAAATTACCAAAGCAACCAACGCTAGATACTATGGGCAATTTTGAACCGGGAAGTGATATTCGGCGTAAACATCAAGTTAAATATACTCATGAAGTGGTGTCTGTCGAAAGATTCTATCACAATCCTGTACCGGAGAAAGCAACCATTACAAAATTTCAGAGCATCAGTCTCAAGAGTGCAAAACCAGTGATTAAAAGAAAAAAACAGTCACCCCATTAAATCATCTCAAACTTGTGATTTTATCTTTATATACTCAATAAAGTGTAATATAAATGTTACTATCGAGAAATATCGTTATAAATTTACTGCCCCAAGACACATTATTATAGCAAGTATATACTCACTTATCTTAACCTAACTGGCCCCAGCTCAACCCTAGTTGAAATTTTACTAGGGACACTACTAGGGCCGGTCTTATAACTTTCTAAAGCTATTTGATTTCTTTCTTCTATACTTGTCCCTAATATCTCGTGTCCTTAAGAAAAATAAGATTCTAAGAAAAAATTATTAACTCATAATACCCATTATATATAGTAGATAATAATACGTATAGATGTATATATATATATATATATAACACATATATGATAGATAAAGAAAAATAAAAAGTAAGAAACTCGAGATTTTGCTAGGACAACTAGGATTACTAGAAATTTAAATCTTTTCAATCTATTAATAATTAAAATATTTATTATTATTTTCTAAATTATATTTTTATTAAAATTGATAAATTATATTATATAAATTTTTCTTGTAAATAGATTGATATGCTTTAATAAGAAATATATAAATATTAAATTTATTTATTCTTGAATAATATATTTTTTTATATTAATTAGTATTTTTTATCAATTTTTAAAATTATAATATTATTTTTTAAATTATTAAGATGAATAAATAATTATATATATGTTATTAAATAAGTTTATTTTTACTTATTTTTAGATAAATTATATTAAGTTTTTAGAGATTTAAGAATGGATATTATATTATTTCATTAGATTTGATAAAATTTATAAAATATAAAATTTAAATTTTATATATTTATAAATAATTTTTCACATAATATCTTAAATGATCTTAATCTTATAATTAAAATCTTTCTTTAATCTAAATATATATAATTAATTCTTGAAATTTTTTCAATTAGAAAAAATAAGTCTGATAATTAATTCTAAAAAGTTAAATAGCTTATTTAATTTATCAAACTTGTTATTTATAATTAATTATGAGTTAGTTTTATTAAATAAATTCTCTTTAATTATATGTTTAAATAATAAATATATAACAAAATATCAAGAAAATATAATAAAAAATAAATCAAATAAAAAAGATATATATTAATTCTTGTTAAAGATAAAGATAAAGTATTATATTATTTATTATAATTAATATTTTCTTATTCATCATTATATTTAAAGATTTAATATTAAAATAGAAAATATAAAAATATAAATAAGTAAGTACTAAATAATATAATAGTTAATAATAAGTTCTTATAATTATTATGATATATCAAGTTATATAATTAATATATATCAAGTAATATTAATTATAATATAATTTATTGATTATTTATAAATTTATGTTTGTATATTATATGTAAATTTTTTATTTTATATATAATATATTAAAATTATTATTAAAAAAATATAATCATAAAAAGCATATTTTAATAATTATTGAATAATTATATACATATATATTATAAAAATAATTATATAAAAAAATTTAATTAGATTTTTTCTTAAAAATATATATTATAAATTTTGATAATTTAATATTATTTTTTGAAATTTTGTATTATAAGTATCAAATTGATAATAGAAGAACACTTAAAAATTATTTGACAATAATAATTAATAAAAAGTTTAAAATATGTAAAAAAATATTTGTACTTAAAAAACTTAATAAAATCTTAATTTTATTATATTAAGAAATTTATGAGTTTTTTTTAACTGATAATGTATAAACTTTTTAAAATAATGGTTGTCTATATTTTTGCGAGGATGAATTATTTATTATACACAGGTCAAATTATATCATTCGGGGTTGATTAATTTAATATAAATAAACAAATGCCATAGAAAGAAATAAATTCGTTTTTTTTTTTAGTTCTGAGAAAGTTTCCGCCAGAATCCTCCACAGACACAGGATCTAACGTAATTATTCGACCATCGACTATTTATATGGTCATGTGTCGAAGAAAAAGAGCCACAACTATATGAAATAAATTTAACGGTCAATTTTAAAAAAAACCATTTAAAGATCTCAAATAAGTAAATTAACATGATTAAATTACCGAGTGCATTGACGATCCGGATGAATATCACGAGCTTTGTTAACGACATCCACCAATTTCGCCCAATCATTTTTATAAAAGTACACGACATTCGGTTTAAATGTATGAACAAATGTTTTGAAAAGATTTTCGGTTTCCTGAAGGGTTGTATGGAAATCTCGGGGAACGGTGCACCGAAGCATCGCACTATATTCTAAACGTGTAAACTCAGGTGCATCTGGGAATTCAAAAATGGGTTAGATATATTTCTCTTTCAACTAGCAATCTTAAATTTCTTATCGAAGTCGTTAACAAAGTCAACAACAAACCTTTTGCCACTGCTTCAATTACGTCAGTAACGTTACTGACATATTCAAGCAAACAATCCCACTTGATTGGACAACGTTTTTCGAGAATGTCTTTTTCTAGGTAGTCACGCATGCGTCGAATATTCTTTGATCCTGCAATAGACGCGATGTATTTTCTGAAGTCGCTCACATATTGTAAGACATTCTTAAGCCATGTGCGGCTTTGAGAATTATATAGAAGGGTAAGGTGTGATTTTTCTGTATTAAAAGATGATGATTTACAAATAAATTTAGAATATGTATTTTGGAAACAGAATGTCAAAAATGGCATTATATGCACCTGGTTTGCGATCTTTTGGGAAACTAAAGTAATGTTCATATAAATTCCGCACTAAATTCACAGCAAAATCTACAACCCATGAAGTTAAATATAGAAGTGAAAGCAAGGCATCTAAATAAACATATAAGCAATTAATCAATCAGTCATTCAGCAGTAATGTACTGAAAAAATTTCAATAAAACACCGTTAATAATCGCGTACCAGAAGAAAAGATCATTGATTGATTCCGAATCACGTAGCTATTTCTAAACGCCGCATCTACGGCTCTAAGCTGCAAAAATGCTAATGCATTCAAATATTGAATACTTTCACCGCTTGATGTTTTAAATAATGATAGTTGTACTCCTAGCAATCTACCAAAAAAATCCGACGAAGTATTAGTTCGTGCTGTTGGAAAGATTCCTTCAATATTCGACAAGGTATTTTCGAGAACGAGCTCAATAAAATCTTGAGAACAAAAGTTACAACAAAATGTCAATATAATCTATGCTGTTAATGAGTCGAATACAACCAAAAAGAAATAAAGATTTCCGACCATTTTTTCCATGCTCCAGCGCAAGTTTAACGATCACATTTTCCAGATCTGTATGTTCAACATTATTCAATATCGACAATGTCAACAGTCTGGCGAAAAGCTCAACGATCGATGACGATTGCTCATAAGTTTTCAGATATGAAAACATCGTAGTATCTGCAATATCAAAAAAATCTACTTTCCCGGATGATCGAGCACATAGAAGAACTGTACCATTTGGTGAGATTGATACTTCTGCAATGCTATTATCACCGTCTTTATCACGACCTTTGTTGTTTCGGATTCCCCAAGCGCTTGGTGTTGGCAGGAACTTGTTTTCTAGGTTTGCGATGATTGCTGGTTTGTCCGTGATTATGGGATCCAAATTAGAGCTAATTAACAGAGATCTAGATTAGCAATTCTTAAACTAATAAATAATTTTCATGTCAATAATAGCAATAGAAATACCATCTACGGAATTCAAAATTCCCATTATCGAAACCAACAAGCAATTCTTCTTGATGCTGCCATAAATGCGTTATCAATCTTTTTTGAATACTTATACGAGTCAAAATCCGCGAAGTTCGCTATTTATAAAATTAATAATTTTTGAATATAAGTGATCAACAAATATAACCAAGAAAGAATAATTTAATGCTTGCCATCACTCTATTTAACATTTTATTTTCTTCCGTTTCGAGCAAAAATGGTTCACTTTTATTAAATTCGTATAAAGTTAAATGACTGTTGTAAGAAATGCTTTCTTTAGTATTCCCTATAATAAAAGAAAAAATCATTGTGAATTAAACATGATCACGTATTTTGGCTATTACATTCCAATCAAATTCACAAAAATTATTTCATCATACACATTTTGTTGAAATATTCATTTACCTTCCTCCTGCGCAGTAACCAAAACCATACGAATAGCATCACTATCAGGCACAGCAGAAAATAACTTCATATGAATCAATGGACCACCTCCTCCATTACCATCATCAGCATGTAGATCATCAACAACCGCACTACTACTATTTAACACTCTATTCGGTCCTAATATGTCTACGTTGGCAATCATCCAACATTGGAGAGGACTCGTTTGGGGGTGATGGAGGTGGTGATGGTGTTTCTGACTCATTTCATCCAGAAGTAATAAATCGATAAAAATTTCAAAAATTGTTGCGACTTGAGATAATGAGTTGGCGTTGTATGTCGATAATATAAAGCGTCCATCTATTCTCATTCGAGAAAATTAGTTAAATATAAATACAAGGAAATATACGATAGAGATCATGTAACGAAGTGCTGAAAGGATACCATTATTTAACATGTAATCAGCATGTGTAATAACACTGTTTGATTCCACATCTAATTGTGCAGTACTAGACAAGAATTTCGCTTTTTCTTGTTGATAGTACAACAAAACCTAGAAATTTTATCTTATTAACAATTTATATAATAAATAAAAATAAAAATAAAATCTATCACTAAACACGAAACTCATAAATTACCTTGCCGCTCGATGTAACAACAACGAAAGCCAGATTTCCATAACGATTTCTGGGTCCTTTGAATGGAGCACGACGATATCCAGTACTTGAAAATTCCCACTAAGGTTTCCACGAATACACATTAAAAAAATAAATAAAACGTCGATTAAAAAATAAACATCCACACAAGAACAAACCTTCCGTTCAGTCGCCAACCACCAAAATGCCACCACCGGCTCTTTGACATCCACATTCCAAATCTCTTTCCATTCATTAATAAATTCTTCAACGGTCCAAACCACAATCTTACCAGTTCGATCGATCGATGCCAGTCCATTTCCAAGTTGATTGAACACGACATTGACAATATCATTGCCGGAATGATATTCGTCCGTTTCGATCACCATTGACGGAGTTGTTGCTTGCTGTGGAAAAGTCCATTTGGTAAAAACTTGTCGTTGTTGTGGCTGTTTCTTTTTGGAATTATGCTTGCGGAACGGTTTGAGTATTTCAATAGTAGTGCCGGAACTTTTCTTCTTTGGTAGCACCCATGCAATGATGTTTTGCGCCGACCAAGCGACTCGGCTTTTATTAATTTGCCAAAAAAGGAAAAATTTAACAACTTTTGATTTTGCAGCAAGAAAAAAGTAAGCTCAGGTAAAATTACCAAACACGCTGCCCGAATCGTAATTCATTAAATAGATCTTGAGCAGTGCCTGCAGTCTTTTCCTCTTCCTGTTCCTCTTCTTCTTTCTGCTCTTGCTCTTTTTGCTTATCCTCTACTTCATCCACCATGCCAACACGAGGTTTTTTGCTTTTCTCTTCTTCCTTTATTTGTTCTTCACTCTTCTCTTCGAACAAGTCCACGGACTTTCTTTTGCCGAGAACAGTGGTAGTAGTGGTGGTGGTGGTGGTGGTAGCACTAGTGCTCGGCATATTAGTCGTAGTGCTATTGTTAGTGGTGTTAGTGTTGGTGTTGGTGGTGGTGGTGGTGGTAGTGCCACTGGAAGCACCGCTGGGAGCGGGGGTATTTGTAAGAAAGAGTTCAATATCAGCAAATGACATTTTTTGTTATGATGAGTTCAGAATTTGGTAAATATGATGAGATTTTTATAGATTCTTAATTGTTACCCGAGGCAGAGTTTATAGGGCAGTGACTGATATTAGGTAATATTGGCAAGATCAGCAAATATTACTCTATTATCTATTCCCTATTTTGGTAAAACGAGCAATTTACTCCAACAATTCAACTCCAAAGTTTGATAATCTTAACTGAAAGTCCCTCTTATAATCCGAGCAACTTTCTATCGTGGAGCATGAAATCAATGCAAAAAATATTAGAAAGTATAATTGAAATAATCTTGCCATGACAATCTCTATACAAGTTTTCCAATTTTTACATGTCAGCATTATCTCTCAAAATTTACCTTTTTTACCATCCAAATATTTTCTCATACATAATTTCTATTTATGAAAACACAACCATAATTATGAAATAATACATTGCCATTTTAAGGTTGTATCACGTGATGGCATAGCGGGAAGACTACAGACTGTGCTTAGGGAGTCTGCCAGGGTGACCCCTAAAAGTTCGGGCCACGTGATATTGCTGATCGACACCGGCGCTTCCGATCTGTCAATTCCGATCCATAAGATATTACTTAGCTTGATCCGGTCACATTTAATAATATATTAAAAAAATAAAGTTAATATAAATTATTTAAGCTGATTTATTATTTTAATAAAATTTATTATTTTAATAAATACATCTTCAATATAATATTTAAATACCATTTCTCCTGTATACTATCAAGTAAAAGAAATCTAAAAAATCTAGATAAATATATCATATTAGATTCGATTTAGATGATATTTAAAGTTTAAATTCCCAAATTTTATGATCACGTGATTTTAAACGCGTTAAAGCATGTTACTTTTTTGCTATTCAATATCTAAATCCTAATGCTAATTACAAAACAAATATATTAAATATATTATAAAAGATCTCTTACATGCTACTATTCAATATCTAAATCCTAATTACATACAAATAAATTCTTAAAAAATAATATTTTATACTAAATGCAAATGCAATCATCCTAATGATCAATTTACTTGAAATGGTATACATCATAAGACATGTAGAAGATGTAAGGAGAATTGGGATCAAAGGAATAAAGAGCACATATCACCAGCTAGAATCATAGCAAATATGTTAGGAGAATCACAAGAATATATCGATGATATCACGTGAATCAAAATTAACTATCTTGATATAAGTAACTTTATTGAACATGAAATCTGAGATCTAACAGCTGGTACACATATTGATAGAATAGCTGATATAGCTTATAAAACTTACTTACTGATACAATTAGATATTGCTATCACTCAAAACAAGACAGTAAAGGAGATGATCAATCTTATAATTACAGAAATTAAAGATGGTGATAATTTTTCATGGAAGTAAGTAATTTCATCTTGTAAAATAAATTTTTATTAGATTATTACTTACTAACTGAGATATATTATTGAAGTTTTCATAATTCAAATATATTTAGAAAATTTGGAAATGCAGTCAGTTATTTTTCTTATTTGTATTGCCAATCAAGAGATGTACAGAATGAAACATATAAAGATTTTAATTGTAAATGATAAATGTGATATGATTGTAAAAGAAAAGTTATCATATACGTTGATATAATACTCAGTATTATAACAGTAGATATATATTATGAATTTCTCCATTCATGTCCAGATCTTTGTATTAAGATATCTAATGAACTATAAGAAAAAATCAATACATATTTGCATCTTACTATAATGTACTTAAAAAATTACTTACGATATCAAGGATTTAATATCTTAAAATACTCTTCCAAGCATATTTATTTCTGAAAGTCTATAGCAGATCAGAAGTTATTCTAACATTATGATGACTATGTTGAATCTGCTCACAAGTTACTTAATGAATACGATAGTCATAGTTTCTATTTGTATCTTGATATAAAAGATTCAGAGACCATAGCTATCAGTTTTACTACCCCATTACTAAATGAAATCAAGAATTATGATATTAATATTACCAAGATATACTTAGATTTTACTTATAAAACTGCATACAGATACTATGAACTTTATAGTATTATAGCAGAAGTTAAAGATACTGGCTTCCCAATTGCCTATCTTATACTTGATATAACTAAGATAGATACGAGTACTAGTATGAGTAGATATTATAAAGTCTTGGAAAGCTTCCTAAAAATCTTGAAGCTATGTGATATTAATCCAAGATTTGTATTTACTGATAAAGATTTTACAGAGATTAATGTGGCGACTAAGATATAAAGACCTTTGGTAGTTTAATTATGCACTTGGCATATAAATCGGACTCTAAAACTTAAGCTTAAAGAGAAAGCCAAGTTATTAAACAATACAGATTATGAAATACAACATGAAATACAACATAAAATACAACTATGTACCATAACTTACAATATCAGTAAAGTAACTAATAAGTTTGACTTTATTGATCCTATCTTTTACCTAACACAAGAGGATCACAATTCAAGAATGTACATTATCTGTCTACTAGCATATCAAGAGTCAATTTTAAAGCTAATACAGAAATATTTCAATATATATCTATTGAAATCTATCAATACTCAAGAAAACTCCATGGTATCAACAGATATCAGATAAAGTGCCATAAGAAAAATATATCAATTCTGTATGGAAAATTTCTTGCGATTACTATATATTTACCTCTGGACTAACTGATATTCATTAGAGTAGTGGCACCTGTGGATATGATCAGTTAGATTTACAATACCTTTTGGAAAAATAACAATAATGATTGAAGCCTACTGAAGTATTATTAAAAGATATTATCTATACCATTTCAATCATCCAAGACTTGATTTGCTGCTTTAGATACTCATCAATAAGATAATACCAGTACAAAAAGAGTGACTATCCCAAATTCTAACTGGCATGATGATACTATGGTAATGGGATAATTTCAAGAAAGCATGAATTACTACATCTGCAAGTAATAATCAATAAACTAATGAGCATGTCAAGGGCAAAAAAAAGCAAAACACCAGTATGAAAGTAATAAATCTAGATAGTTTATATTTTATTGATATTGTTCGCTAGGTCTGCAGCTGTCCTGCCTTTCTTGGAAGTCACTTTCTTCTATGCAAGTATTTAGTCCAGCAGATTAATATTATGTCCAATGGCAAATGATGAAGACTATTATACTATAATTTTGAATATCACATCACTCTACCATTTCTTGTTTTAAGAAATCTCAAAAGTGAAGAAACTATAATTAATATTTTATCTGTTATACCTACTGAGATTGAAAAAGTCCAAGTTACTGATTCTGATAGTATAGAAACCACTATCAATAATATGCCTAATAATATTACCATTAATAAAAATCCAGAGAAAGAGGTTCAGACTTATGTTGAATCAAATTGGTCATTATTTGAATAGACAATCAAGTAAATTTATATTGAAAAATCAACCAATAACTGGTGTTATATTTGTGCAATAATGAGATAGAGTAGAATGATATCAATAAAAGAGAAAATTCAGATAATAGAATAATAAAGATATTAATAGCTAACTTGAACACTAGTAAATAGAAAGCTATACTTAATGTTTTTGTCATGTTCAGAAGGATCTGATGATCATGGAAAAAAATTATATTTTGTCAAGAGTATATTAACCAATAATGCAGATATTATAGCTATAGAAGATAACAAGAATAAATAAAAATGATATTAATATGAAAAGTATAATTAAAAATATGTATATTATTGTGATATAAACTTTTAGTAGAAATTAGTTAATTATATTTTATTGGTCGCTTCATATCACAATATGATTGGATGAATAATTCTTTATATCTTATTGGACATTAGCTTTAGAGAATA